GCCTTTCCTTTTTGCCCTTATTCAAAGATACTAGCGGGCTGTCAGTGATATTATCACGCAAAAAGTGAGACTGTGACCTAGCCAACAAATGAACTATCAAGCTTTTGATTCGCTAATTAACCTGCCAACAAATGTTGTTTTAACACATCAAATGTATGTTTATAAGTAACTCCCTTCAAAAAAAGTGCTTCGCAGCTAAAAACAGCATATTTGGAATCAGCGTTTTGAGCTGATTCTAAAACATACGTCTCATTTCGGAAAGGCCGACCTAAGTTATGTGACTCTCCTTGTTAGCAACACAAGCGCAACTTTACAAAATCTCTTACCGTTTGGTGAAAATGGAAAAGAAGGCTTAGAGTTTGGCGAGGAAATTTCAAGATAGAGCTTGACGCAATGATAGAACTTCTGTTTCCAGCGGAAGTGATTTTCAAAGGTCTTTAGGAGATTCGATGAAGAAACTAAGCGGAAGTGAAAGACTTCGTTTTCAAAACCTCTCACTATCCTCTTACTATCACTATCCATTAACCTCTCACTTGTCATTGACACCAGCCACTCTCAACGCTAGAAAATATTAGAGTACTATACTATGATAACAATGTGAAGCCGTAATTGAAGTAAGTCAACGAAATGTTCATAAAAGAATTTTATTCATAAATAAAGGAAGACACTTCAGTAGATAGTAAAGGTTTGAATCGATTATGCGAAGGTAAATTCATTCCGGTGCTTAAATTTGTGCTTAGCGTCCACCAGCTTTATGGGCCTGATTGTTCATCATACCTATAAGAATGAAGAGAATATTGAAGAAGAAATGTCTACCGTTTCTATCCTACCGCTTCCAGAGCTCATTCCTTTGTTCATCATTCCGCCGCCTCCACCCATTCCACCCATGTTATTCATACCTATGAAATACAGTGCAGTGAAATGAAGTCACAAAGAGAAAGGGCACTTACCTCCAGTGGGAGTTGGAGTTGGAGTCGGGGACCTTGCCTGCTTTGTGCTTTTGCCCGAATTAATGTCTTGAGTTGTACCCACATGTCCGCTACCCCCGCTTGACTTTTCTATACCCATGTCTAAACCTTGGATGTCAGTGTTTCACCACATAATTCTTGATAGACCATTTATAATGAGTAAATACGGATTTGCTACAGCTACACAATTGCCTCTTTTACAT